ATATATTTTATATATATATATCAAGCTGACTTTCCAAAAATGAAAGATAACATTTATATGGTTTGCTAGTTATCAAATTGGACCCATTTACGTGGACCGATCTTTACAACCTGCTATTAACTCTGGAAAGTTATGTTGTAATACAGCGCTATACAAACAACTGTCATGTTACCTTGAAGCCTCCTCTCTTGGCTTTGCAGATCGGGGACCTCCTGCCGTGCACAATGACTATGTCCTGAGAGCTGTCCCCACCGGTGACAGCGGAGGTGAGCTCTGCCCGCACTCCCCTGGGAGCCCCCGGCAGATGTCCTAGTACAACCCTCACTCTATGCATGGTGCCAACGTGATTATGTGACCGATCGGAAGACGCCTGAATAGACCAGTTTGAAGGAGGGAGTTTCACAGTCATGTGACTGTCACATGATTAGGTGGGTACTCTTGGAATGAAATGAATGTTTGACAAGGATTTTGGATGGCCAATTGTTAAGCTGAGAATCATAATCATATTATAGGCATCGCTTTTAAGTTATTTCGCATTATAAAAATCATTGATAATTTTGGATTATGTTCAGTGATAGCATTTACTATTAGGTCTGTAGAGGTTATAGATACTAAATGAACAAATATACAAGGATGCCCTCATCCAAACCTTGTTCTATACACAGAATTTGCTCCAGCTCTTGGGGAAAGTACAAGACCCATAAGGCATTGCAAAACTCTGAAAGTCTCAGGCATGACTCCCAGAGACATGATGGGATTTGTGGTTTCAAAACAGATGCAGTGCTGAGGTGGCTTATCCACTCGCTGCAATATACTCTCTATTGGCATTACATCATGTAAACCATTCCATTCTGAACTGCATTAAGCTCAGCCGCCTACAATATATTTTCGAGGGACAACCAATTCCAGCCCGCTCTATATACATCAGACTAGTAAATACAAAGGGAGAGGCTCTCTTTCAAAACACTCATAACCACCGCCACAGTTTTGGTCTTCGAAATCATGTCCGCCTTTTCGGGACTTAACAGGCGAGAGGCGTGTGTCATTGTTGCCGCGTTTCCGTAGTGTTCACGGAGCTGATAGGCTCATCTTATCACACGTCATTTCCGGGTTCGGCTGTCAATGTTCCCGGTTCCTCCAGTGTACTTTCTGCTTGGAGAGACATGCAATATAACGGCGAGAGGTAAATTTTATTAGTATTCGATTGGTATTATGTTTGCATCGGGTGCTACGTTGTAAATAAACATCCTTCATATTTGAATAGGAAGGCTGGCTTAAAAAAAAATGTTTTCGCTCTTCTCTCTATGGGCCCGTTCAGTTGTTGGGGAGATTCGGGTTCATCACCCCATGCCGTGTTCGCTCCGTGCAAACATCTAGATAAAACGATGTGTGCTTGAGGCTTAATTAAATGCTTATCTGTTAGCCATTCCTGACATGCTGCAAGCCTGGGGCAGTTGCTTTGTGCTGCATTTCCACCATATGTTCTGATACATGTCTGCAGAGAAGAATACGCCTTTTACATGTTTACGGTAATAAGTGTGGTTGTTGATGATGATCTATAAATGTGTAATGCATATTACCCAACTTGAAATGGTAACACATATGCATCACAACTAGAGCACTTGCTATCACTATTGCATGAGCATAGCTGGGTGATTTACACGCATCTTCTTTCGCGCTTGTACATGACACTTGAGGTACAGGAGCAAAATTGTGTGATTTTGGCACGATAAACATTTGCACCAAAAGAAGCTCATGTATTTTTTTTAAGCTGTAAAGTAGAACTATTGGGAGAGTGAAAATGCTTCCAATAGTTTGAGCTGGCATGTGACACTGCAGATGTCACATGCCGGCTTTATAACTCGAGAACTGAGCGATCACATACCACTGATCACTCAGCTCACAGCTTTTCCCTTAGAGAACAGTGCCTGTCAGTCAGGAATCCACTCCTCCCCTCTCTCTGTTCTTCTTCAGCGCTCATTGGAGGGACAGACAGGAGGGGGTGGGCACAGCTGACTCTGGAGAGGCTCAGGCAGCCAGGTGGATCCCGACGATATTGTCGGGATGTTTCCCGGCTGCAGTGCGGCTCTGCGATGCCAGCATATAGCGGGCTATATACTGACTTTGTATCATAGTCTATTAGTTATAGTACTCCTGTGGCCTAAAATAAAGGTTTGGCTATAGTTCTTATTTAAGCTTTAGATGACATGATGCTCAGATCTGAACGGGCACCATTTAAAATAATGTGATTCTTCATGTTGAGCGTTAAAGCTTTTGAGCAAATACGCTGAAAGATGTAAATTCGGTCTTGGTGTTATTTGTACTACCTAATGATCGTTTCCTCGTGTATATCGTAAATACTGTGATCATTTAAATCCTTAGTAAATATAGTGAGGAAGTTTTAATAGTTGTGTTGTGATAGTTATTACACTGAATAAATAAACTTTGAACCATCTTTTGTTGAGTGTTTATTTTTATCTACAGTACACAATACAGTACACAGTAATTCTGGATGAGTGAGGCGTATTACACCCCGCCACACGGTTTTTGGAAAAACTTACACTATAAAAGTAATCACAGATTGTAGATAAAAATAAACACTCAACAAAAGATGGTTCAAAGTTTATTTATTCAGTTTAATAACTATTTAAAACTTCAATCCTCACCTTTTTTATTATTTCTTCATTAATGTATTATTTTCCACAATCACTATATTTACTAAGGATTTAAATTATCACAGTATTTACGATATGCACGAGGAAACGATCATTAGGTAGTACAAATAACACCAAGCGCAACATACTAGCCTTCACTGATCACTATTTATACACATTGTTGCAGCTGGTGATTAGGTATATTTTATCCTAGCGTGACTAAATTGGTTTGATTATTTGGTAAATTCGGTCTTGTATTGCATGCGTAAGGTATCACGTGTGCTTGGTAGGAGAGCTGACTGACATCTCTTCATTTTATAAATTGACAAGCTTTGTATTTTAGGGCTGGTATGAGTGTTTTTAGACCGCGTTCGCACTTGCTATTTTGTGAATTTCAGCAGCAAGAAACAGAGAATTCCAGCAGCCACAATGACAGATACTTGAGAATAGCTACTGCCGCTGAGCCTCTACATAACAATGACAGACTGATGGTGTCTGCAGCTGTCCGTGGTTGCGTGCACATCCAGCAATTTAGCCACGATTAGACAACCAGATAATTGTTCCCAAGATCCACTGGTTGCGGTTGCAATGCTTTCATGGCTCCAATGCAAAAAGATAATAATAAATGTACATATTTTCCCAAGTTATCTTCCAGGACAGCATCTGAGAGATAGTCTCCTCCTACCTGAAACAGGAAATGCATCATCCACACTAAATTAAAAAGCGATCAGAACTAGCATGCCTCAGTTATTTGTGTTTCCTCGGGCCTAACAGGAGCATCGCAATGTTTGTTTATTTTCTGTATAGGCCTGTGTGCTAGTTGCAGGGGCCTACTGCACAATGTATCCCGGTCTTTAGAGATTCACCCTGAGGTTTCCCTCTTAAGAGTGACAATCATCCTCCTGGATGCAACAACTCCATCTGAGATTTTCCCCAACCAGCCTGCAGATGCTTTTGTCTTTTGGTAACATGGATAATGTCTTTCCTGCCTGGTGCCGCCCTGATGAACTAGGGACAAGTTAGCAGGGGTCCCAATCCATTCCGCCTGGCATGCTTCTACTTGCGGAGGTGGTGCGCTGGCTAGACCCTACCTGCCCACCTGCTCTGACCATTTTCCAGCCGAGCTTACCTGTTCGTTGTCTGCCTCCTCGTCAGCGGTCCTCACTGGGGAGACGGGGTGGCAGGCAGAACAAAGCCTCGCTCGGGGAATCAGCGATTTCCGGTCTTCCCCGTCGGGCAGATGTCCGAGGCGGGGAGAAAGAGACATCACACATCAGTGATCACTTCCGGGTAGCATGCAGACACTGTTCCCCACTTGAACACGCTACATGGCAGAGGCAAACAAACGAAGGCAGCAGGCAGAGGACCTTGTGGGCCACACCAGCAAGGGGGGAGCAACAGGAGCGGGGACAAAGGAGCACAGATCTTCTGACTGGTGAGCTACCATACTGTCAAGCGTAGAGTGGACGCACCTACCCTTGACACTTATCGGTTGAACCAACCTCATTAAGATGAAGGTTCTCCCTGTCTTGTTATACTTCCTTTGTAATTCCCCTGTGCATATCCCTAATGCTCTTTTTAGGAAAATTAATCAGTTGTTCTCTTCCTTTTTTATATGGAATTCAAATTCCCCTCGGGTTAGACTTAGTCTCCTTCAGGAGCCTTGGACTCGGGGCGGCCTGGCTTTACCTGATCTTAAAGTGACATTAAACCCTCAGATTTTTTAACATAAAACAATAGTGTAATGTGTGCCTTACTGTAATCCATGGTAGTTTCCCTTCCCTTTTGCTGCTCTTCCTTTTTAAATTTGTATCTGTTCTCAAGCTGGGCAGACCTTCTGTTTTGCAGCAGACTGCCTTGTCTCTGGAATGGCTACATGGTGTCTGTGTGTACGTTTGCAACCTGAGCCAGCACTACAGGCAGAGGCCCTGAGCTGAAAAGGGAAGTTCTACCCAAGCATGAGAAGACATGAGGATTTAAAAGGAAGAGCAGCAAAGAGAAGGGAAACAACCATGGATTACAGTAAGGCACACATTACAGTATTGGTTTATGTTAAAAAATCTGAGGGTTTAATGTTACTTTAAGTACCATCTGGCTGGCCTGATGGTGGTGGTTTAATGTTGGCTAACTGCGGAGGACGGTGACGCTGCTGTGATGACGGAGGCTGCCTCGCTGTGGTCCTATGCCTCTCTGACTGGGTTGGTCTATAGAGGGGTGGGGGCACCTTATCTGCTGACGGTCTAAATGGAGGCAACTGTTAAGTCTTGGAACTTGGTCTGGAAGCTTCTCCATCCACTTGCCACCTATGAGTCGCCGCACACCCCTCTGTGGAACAATCCATGTCTGCCTCATTTTATGGCTAACCCTGATTTGCATATTTGGCCAGCTAAGGGGATCAGGACCTTGGGAGATCTGACTTGGACTGGTTCACTTGCATCCTTTGCTAAATTGCAGGAGAGTTACGGTCTTCCAAACCGTTACTTGTTCAGGTATTTTCAGCTTAGACACGGTTTTCAGGTACAGATGGGGGGGGTTGTGAGTGTTTGGTCTTCCATCCTGTGTACCGGGAAGATCCCTATCTCTGATGTATTTTCTTATTTTAATTGTATACCTTGGGACGAACACATATCCTTGGATTGGATGGGATGTTGGCAGCGCTCTTTTTGTACCTATTTCTCCTTATCGATCCGTCCCGTTTATTGGTGGCCTGTGTGCTCGGTGTGGCACACAACTCTCTGGTTTGGGGGTGTTATTCGGGATGTTTTTCTGTACCTTTCCTTGTTTGTAACAAGTATGTGCCCCTAGTTTTTAAGTGTACCCTGTTTTTTGTTATGAAAACTTGAATAAACCGAATTTCCTAAAAAATAAAATAAAATAATCTGCAGGGCAGCTACTTGGACCAGCTTCTATATGTTTGTCAAGCCCTTCCGTATAGATGTGTTTGCCAGTCAAGACCAAGAATTTGGTAGAAAGCTCCTGCAAGCAGTTGGTCCAACCCAAGCCATGGTTTCTTGCCTATTCTCTCAGATACTGTCCTGGAAGATGGCTTGGGAAAAACCTGAGTTAGGGACCTGGTCACTCGATTTTCCAGGACAGCATGGTTCCCGCCCATGGGAATTTACATAATTTTTTTCTATGCTTTGGAGTATCCTTTGGTTCTTTTTATAAACTGAGGCATGCTAGTGCTGATCGCTTTTTATTTGGTGTGGATGATGTGTTCCCTGTTTCAAGTGGGAGGAGACTAGGGCTGCAACAACTAATCAACATAATCGATTATAATCGATTATTGAAAAAGTTGTCAACTTTTTCAATAATCGATTAATCGGCTTCCGATTGGTTGGCCCTGTTCACGGCTCCACACACGCTGCACGCCACACCTCCTCCCCACCTCACGCTCGCCGCTGCCAGGCCCGCCCGCATCCACACCTCCTCCCGCCTCACGCTCAGTGCTTGCCCAAATCCACGATCGGCACAGGTGCGCGGGGAGAAGAAGTAAGGAGGAGCAGGCGTGAGGGAATGACAATAGGCC